CCCGCTTCATTTCTGGCCATTTCCCTGACCTTCACGCCTCCCGGCGGTTGCCCTATATGGTAACGGCAACTGCCTTCGCGCTGCGTTTGCTAAGCAATATCGCAAGCGCGCAGAGCGCGCGCGCCGGCTTCGTGGGCCGGCGCGCGCTCTGCGCGCGCGCGCGCACGCATTTGGTTACCAGATGAGTTGATACGGTATCACTTACCACAGGTTCGACGAACGAATCAGTTCTGAGGTTCTGACGAAGACCGGACCTGGATGGAGAAGTTGCAGTCAAAGGATGTTGCCAAGCTTCGTCTAGGGATACAATTTCTCGTGTGGTCCTCGGCTGGTGCGGTCGTCCAGTCGCTCCTTCGGGGCAAGTAGTATCAAAGCTGCGGGCGTGGCTGAAGCTGCTCCTCCTTGGGGAGTTTGCGAGTCTGGACGTCGTGCCAGTTTCAGTCTGTTCTTGTTGTACTATCTCAGCCTCTACCCCCTCTGGGTCGACCACGCTATTGTTGAAAGAAGATGCGCACGACCGTGACTTATTTTGCCAGTCACGCACCGTATCGCTATCGAGAATCCCTCGCGGCCCTCTCTGCTGTCTCTCTTCGTCCCGCAAAATCTTACGGTAGTTGTGCGCCAATAGGGAGCGAAATTTGGGCTGCAGCAGGAGTAAGTTCTCCTGGCTGGTCGCGGCATTTCTACCGGATGAAGCTCGCTGCTGTTCTACTTCTAGTACTCCCCAACCGCGTCGCCCGGAGCTCTGCATGGTACGATTGTCGCAGCCGCCCCTGTCAACATCTCCTGCACATGCTGCTCCACGACCTCCAGAGCATATTAAAAGTCCACATGCTCGCTTCATCTTATTTTTTCTCTTCCTTTCCCCGAGTTGTTTTTTCGCAGTGGCCAGCCAGACCTTGGGCGATGTTAGAGCCCCAGCCCCAGCCCCTTTATTGCGGCCAAACGGTTGTACTGCTTTGGAGGTGAAAAGTCCCAGGTGGGCCTCCGCGGTGGCACCGAAAAGCGGTTGTTGGCAATGCGGACACGGGTCAATGTTATGGTGCGCAGCACCTCCACGACCAGAAGTAGTACTACTAGCTGAAGCACCGGCGCCACCCGGATTACTTCGCTGCTGCTGGCGGTACATGGCCCAACAGGGTCCGTGGATTTTGGCCTTGCAGGTTGGGCAGAACTTCTATGGCGTTCTCAACTGTTACATTCTCAACTGTTACATGAATTTGTGATGCAAGAATGGCAAAAGTCAAAGGGGTGACCTTGCGCGTCTAGCATGACAGACTTGGCACAGATCCCGAGCCTGTTTGGCTCTTCGAGAATTTGTCATGCGGAGCAGCTTGATCGTATCAATACTAATTGTGATTTTGCATGACAAATCATGTAACAGTTGAGAGTGTAATGTTTGAGAACGCCATAACTTCAGCAACGGATTCCCGAGTTCCTCTTCGCAGCAACACAGGAAACAAGTATCTTCCGGCGTGGACGACTGTTTTGGGGAGGGATCGGATAACTGCGCAGAGCTTTTGTCAAGCTGTTGGAGATGATCTTCACCTGCTTTACTAAGATGTTCTTGCACGTCGACCGGCGCTCTACGCGCGTAGTCGATGGGAGGAGATGAATGATCTCTCTGCAGTGCCAGTGCGTCTCCGCCTTGAGCGAGCATTTCTTGTCCCTGCTGCAGGTGGTGCTCCTGCTGTGGGATAATATTAGAGTCACCTCGCGCGGTATCCTGTGTAAAAACGTCCCCACCCCATAGCTGTCATGCAAATCTGCATGCTGATGATGTTTCTCATGCAGAGCCCCATGAGAGGCATTTTCTAGTCGTGCTTCGGAATTTGTCATGCTCCGTTCAGCATAGCAGGCTAGATCTGTGACGCTGCTGAACTACCTAAGCAGGACTACACTACAAGGCGCAACTTGTCATGCGCAACAGCCAAAGCTGTCTGATTTGTGTAGCAGATTTCCCATCTTGACGTATTGGTTGGGGACGTTTTTACTCAGGATACACGGGTCCATCAGCAGCTGCACCCGCCCACGACGGTTGTTGGCCGCCGAAAATCAGTCCTCCACCCTGAAGATGTTCCGGCGGGGGCTCCGGCAGAAAGTTCATCTGATTTTGCTCGGCGTGGTCTGCAGCTCCTGCAAGCATGTTCACCTGCACGGGCGCGCGCGTGTTCTGGAAGACTTCCAGGGCTGTGTTGAGAAGTGCCCGCTTATGACGAGAGTGCACAACTTGCCCTCCCCCTCATTTGCATAGATGGCAAGAACAGCAATAGAAACTACACAAGCACACGTGAAGCCTATGTTTGACAAATTGATGTACGACCAAATTTAGTGCTGTTTGGCTTTGGGCTTCATGTGGAATTTGTCAGGCAAACAGTCACAGTGCCACAAGGGAGTTGGGATTTTGCATGACAAATGAGAGAAAGGGGGAGTTGTGCGCTGTCATACCGCTGCCGCTGCAGCTCGTGGTGCGTCTCCAGCATTCCCTGGCGCTGGCGGGCGCGACGGCCCTGCTCTTGTATCTGCTGCTCCAATGTGCAATGGTTGTAGGACGAGGAAGATGCTACGGCATTGCGCAGCGTAGCTGCCTCCTGTTCTCGTTGCTGCTCCAATTGCAGGCCCGTCCTGACGAACACATCTTCGTGAAAACTGTCCCAAGCAGTAGAGTCGCGGTGCTCCTGGTGGTCTTGTTCCCGCTGCTCCCGAGCGGATTGTTGACTTTGGTTTTGTCTACTTCTTGACCACAAAGCCACTGCAGGACTGTGATGAGAAATGCTCATAGCAGGAGCCGGGCTACTAGTACCTTGTTGTGCAGCCCCGCTCGTCCCGCGGCTAGAATTATGATGATCGGAAGCAGGTCCGGTAGTAGTAGAAATAGGTCTACCTCCTCCGGAAGGAGAGGTCCCGTCCACGCCGCCCGGAAAGCCGCCTCCGATCTGCCCATATTTTCCCGAATACGGGCTCAACTGGGGCTGGGGCTGTTGCTGCGCACCTACTTGTTGCTCATCTGGTGATCGGTGGGGTAAAAACGGAGCATGGTGTTGTACTTCCTGTTGTACTTCTTCTATCGGTGAGTTATTTTGACCTACATTGTGGTTGTGCTGCACATGCACTCCACCTGCTCCTCGCGGCTGCTGCGGAAACGCGCTTCCATCGTGCTGCCAGGGTAGTTGGTGTCCGCGGGCGGGGTAGAAATTCGGTGGCACAACTCCGACAGGGGGGTACGCAAACTGTATGGAGCTCTCAAGCATTTGCGTTCTTGCATTCGCAACTGTTACATGAATTTGCAATGCTGCAATTGCAAGATTGCTATCAGCTGCCAGCACACGGTGAAGCTGCTACTTCGCAGGATGGCAGATCCTCGAAGTGCTAAGCAGGCCAGTAACCTGTCGTGCCAAATCTGTGACACAAGTGCTGCAAGCTTGCGGCCCTTTTTTTAATCTTTTGCTCCGCTTGTGATTCTTGTGTCACAAATTTATTATGTCACAGTTGAGATGAATTATGTAACATTTGAGAGTCGACGTCCCATAAACTGCTCCCAAGAGATATTTCGGTAGTCTTGGTTGGGAGACTGAGACCACTGGTTGATCATGTTGTGTTGCATTTGCATCTGCGCACCCCAAAAATTATAAGAACTATGGTCGCCGTAACCGTACGGCCCGCCCTGATAGATCCTCGGCATCTGCGGTGGCGACGTTGGTGGCATTGATCCACGTGACCGTTGTTCATATTGGTCGTAGTTGTAGCCCAGCATCGGGGAATGCGCAGGTCCTGAGCGATATCGTGGCTGATTCGGGATGTGATTTTTTTCTCGCTGTGTTGTATGCGTTCGTGTTCTTGTTCCAGCGGCGCCATGGCAGTTGACGTTTTGAAGCGGTGTTCCTTGAGGTGAAGTGGGATGGCGCCGCGCGGATGTTGCAGCTGATGTGCGGTCGTCTCCTTCATCCGGCCGCGGACTGTGTGGTCCCAGTGGCCGCGGGGGCTGGTACGCAGTAAACCGCTTTCCTTGCACGGTCGCTGGGCCCTGAAGAAGCGCCGCGAATAAAGGCAACAGAGAATAAACAACCATTGAGCCCCCGTACGACGAGGACCCCTTCTTGTGATTTATTCCCGGGGCTCGTGGTCTTTTTGAGCAGGCCATCTTTCTTTCCTCGGGAGCAGGACGCTGTTTAGAAGTAGTGCGCGGCTGGTGACACACACACAAGATTAGAGACGGAGGTTCTTGCAGCTTTCAATGCATCTCTATTCCCAATGTCGGCCGAGAGGACACAGATGGATCGATCGACCACCTGGACCTAAAATGTCGTATGAGCGTATGGATGAATTATTTGGTCGTTGGATCTCTTTCGAGATCATGATAAGCGACCTCTTGGTTCTTGGCGACGACTGGGAGGCACATCCCAAATACTCGCAAAAAGGCGCTATACTGTCGATGTCGTATGATGAAGCTCACGACGTAGTGGTCGTGATCATCGTCCACTATAGGCCACCAGGATGATGACATCAAGAACCGATTTCAGCTTCAATTCCGGTTACTTCACGAACACAAGTAGAACTAGAACTCTGTTTACTTCACGTACACCAGAAGGAGAACGTCAAAAATTCAAGTACTTAAACTTCTTGAAGCCTTCATATGAAGTATACATTTTATTCACAGTATCAGTACTACAAGCGGAATGCTGATAGACAATCACAATCAGTCTGGATCTGAGCTGCTGGAAAACAAGACAGGTCCGCCAGGTGGGATTTTTTCTGGGGTGAAGATACTAAAGTAAATTGATCCACCCCACCAGACCGTTGCTCAATCACCCTGCCATCGCGCGTGTAGGACTTCCGCCACAGCGTCTGGGTCGCCAAAAAAGCCAACTTTGGAGACGGCGCCGGGATAGTCAGGATCTTCGGCGTACCGCACAAGCGCTCCCCGTGCCCGGAGAAATACTCTAAAGATGGGATCATCCGCAGCATCGTCCGGCGTGTCCGCGAAGTGCCCATTCACGTATTCCCACATGTACAGAGCACACGACTCAACACACATGTTGTGAAGCCCTGGCGGCGCCTCGAAGACAGCTCGATCTGCAGAAGTCGCAAACTGCGATGCAGCAGCAATAGGCATAATGTCCCGGAGGTTGTAGAGAGAGTCCAGCTCCAGGGTCCGCTTCCGGGCGGGAAGTGAGCTGGGTTTTGTGCTGTGCTTCGGGTTATGCTTTGCAAATATGTCTGGGTCTGCGTCTGGAAGATTGCAACGAACTTGTGATGCTGCCTTTGGACTCTACCTACGGAAAATCAAAATCTGTATTGGATGAACCTTTTTGCCTCTCAGCGTCTACCCATATTAGTCATCCACTTTACGACCAAAATCTGTATTGCATGAACAGGAAAAGAGGTCCAACTTTTGCTAAGCGGAGAGGCCATTTCTCATGCGGTATTGGAATCAGAATTATGCCCTCACAAAATCTCATCTGTGGTGCTAGAACATGAATCACGGACATCGTGGCTCATGTAAAGTGTACATGACAAACGTTGCGCTCTTCCAGACCCAGACATATTTGCATTGATTTGATATGGTTGCAGGAATAACTCCGAGGAGTGCGTGACATTAACCATCGCGTACTGCAAGTGCGGGACGTCGTATGCAAGAAAAAAACACTATCGCAATCAATTTTGCACGTTTTTGCATTTACAAAAATTTTTGTCATGCGCAGAAATGCATCACAGTCAAGATTTATACTTACGCGGTCTCCCTTATGTTTTTGCAATACAAGGAAAATTTGTCATGCGAGACAAATCTCTGATCGAAAACCTCCTAAATGTGCTCGAGATGGTGTTTTTTTCTTGGATACGTCGAGGTCTGGAGTGAAGCGGAGGAGAAACGGGTCCGCATTTGTCTGCCTGTTCCAGCGGCCACGCAGCCCCGTTCTCCTTCCGTCGGAATCCACCTCGTCCAAGTCAAAGAGCGCGGAGACCGGCCTGACCAAAGCACCCGGCGGCGGGTTTTCTAGCAGCGTCGGGTCAACGTCGCCGAGTCCTTCGGCTAACCGCTCTTCCGCGTCGAACTGGGCATCGAGCTCTCGAAATAACCGCTCCTCATGTGGGTCCACTGTAGGATTAGAGAATATTCGAGAGTGCGCGGCTTCGACCAACGCCTGCGCGCGTTCCCAGGTAGTAGTTGCTTTTCTCGGGGACGATGATCTTGTGGCGGCTTCAACACCCTTCATCATCGGAGGTTCTCCTTCTTGGTGAAGATATCGCTGTAGTAGCAAGTCGAGGGCCTTGAAGTACAACTTGCCGCTGCGTTTCTCGTCTTTCAATAAGCCTGCGCTTTTGCCATACTGGTCCACGAGAGAGACTGGAGTCATATGTTCCGGAGAACCAAGATAGCAAAATCGGGAAAATGGGAAAAACGAAAATAGAAATCCCGCAAGCGTCCTGTTGTGATTCTCGTCCTTGTGGATCATCGGACCCCGTCGGGCACAGGCTTGTCGTGGTCCACCCTGTTCAACATCGCCTCGAATCGAACAGCCGCAGCACTATTTCAATACTACTGCCTCGGCCCCCCGTCGTTACTGGTGGCGCTGCTGCTGTTAATTGCTCTCGTGCTGTGTTTCAGAAGATGCACAGAAGCCCCACAGACGCCTCCCGGAGAGGACGTTTCTGCTGGGTGCAAGCGCGGGTCGAGGGTTGGGCACGACACCACTGGGTTCTCATTTTTCTCACTGCTAAGCCTCCAGCTCCACATAAAAAAAAACCGACCGCATGTCTGCCTCTCCTCCGTGGTTCTGCTGTCCGCTCCGAAGTTCACCTGCGCCTGTACCTAGAAGACACAACGAACACCACACTTCTTCGAGTTCTGATGTGGCAAGCCATGCAAGTCGTCTTTCTAAGATAAGGAGTCAGAAAAAGTTCACGGCAATCGTTCACGTCTTGATTTTTGTGGGGGGTTTTCTAGCAAGATTGAGCTTCACGCCTTGGCTCGGCTGTGGATCGAGGGCTGCAAATTGCTGTAGATCATCTCGTTGTGTCAGGACTGCACTGGAGGCGTTTATAGGCTATCTTGCAGAACCAGGCATCGCTCCCTGCTGCGGTATAGTCTACGACGGTGCTGAGGTTTTTAGAGTTGTAACATTGAGTAAAATACAAGTTCTAATCTGCAGGCAGAAGTAGTGTACTCTGCGGCCAGTATCGGGGTTTTTCTGCATCTCAGTTGCGAAAAGGGTAAAAGTTAGTTCTCTGCGCGACCTAATTTCTCGAAGACCTGGAAGCTGGTCTGTCGGTCGGCTTTACAAAATTACGAATTTGCTGAAGGATCCGCTAGCAATAGACTGGAGTGCGATATTTCTCAGTTTGTTTCTTGGTATTCATTTTTGCAAGCGTGACAAGTGGCGGAATGCGCCGCTGCCTGCTGCTTGGCTTCGAAACTACATCACTGGTGATTCTTTTAGATAGAGTCTTCGCTCGCTTCGTGACATAAACCGGCACGACGGTAAAAGGTTAGTTCTCGAGCTGCTGAAACCGCAAGGGCTTCACAGCGAAAAACAGCGACGGTCTTTGATAAGAAAACGCAGTTCTGTCGTTGGGTTCTGCCTAATGGTACATTCTGAAACTGCCTAGCGGCAGATGCTTATTTTTTTGAAAATCGACTGAGATAAGCAAGGGTCTTTTCTATATATCATAATTATTCAAAAAGAACTACACATAGCATTTTCTTGGTTTGCAAAATTTCTGGTCGAACCACGGCCCCGCTCCTGGCTCCGCTAGTTCGCGTCCTTCATCTTCTGTAACTCCTGAAAGAACAAATCGGTGTTGCGGCTGGCGTTCGTATGCAGCTCCAAAACGCCCGGACCTTGGCTGTTTTCTGTTTTGTATGGGCGCAGAGTATTTTCGCCGTCTATGCAAAAGTGAAAACAGAAAACAGAGCAAGTCCGGGCGTTTTGCAATTCCTACGCCGATTTGTTCGACGGCAGGGCGGTTGAGGAACTGCTAGCGCCGGACGTCGCGTCCCTCAAAATGTCCTGCTTCACGTCGTACAGCTGGGCCTGCTTTTCCGATTTCAGTTTCTTCGCCGCCGGTCCCTCCGCGCGGTCCGCATCTTTTTCCTTACTGGTCTTGGCAGCGTTTTGGCGCTTCGCCTCCACCTTGTTGTTCCGCTTCCACTCGATCAAAATGTTGGCCATGTTGCTGGAAATCGCGGTCAGCTTAATCATGTCGGACTGGGCAATGAACTTTTTGCAGTTCTCCTGAAACTGGCTGATGGCGGCGATAGAGTCCTGCAGCTCGGCGGCGTATAGGATGCGAAAAACATTTCCGGCGTTAGGTTGTCATGCGCTTCTGTTTCTTTTGTCAAAATGTGTCATGCGTAAACGCATGACAACTTCCAGCCGGAGGAGTTTCTTGCATCTTCATACGACATCGAGAATTTTCACCCCTTCGTCATCAATGTCCAACAACGTATCCAACAGACTGCTCAACTGCCGGACGCCTTCGGTGGCGCCCTCGAGCGTCGGCTTTCCGTAGTAGTAGTACGCGAGGGCCACGCGGAAAACTTTGTCAGACGGCATCAGCATGGCCTGGGAAGCAGCGGCGCGGGCCGCCTCCTCGAGGTGCATGTCCATGTACTTCATGTAGTAGATAGCCCTTGCCGCCCGCTTCTCCGATAAACTGTCCTTCTCGGCCACGTTCAAGGCCGCGACAAGTTGCTCCCGCACTTTGCTGTCCCTGTGTGTGTAGTTTTTTTACATGTGTAGACGCGCATAAATTTGTTTGTAAATTCATGTACTCAAGAACCGAGCTTGCTGCGAACAAAACAGGCCACCGGCGCGTGCAAATGTGCGGAAACCTGAGGGCGGCTGCCGGCCCTGCAGGCAATGAGACTCCCGGGGCTGCACAAAGCGAATGGCGGGAAGTTGTTTGGCGCGGCGCAGATCAACATCACTCCAAGTGAGGCCCGCAAAGGCCCTCCTGCGCAGCGAGTGGCGTGGTGCACAAATCAAGCCCGCGCTGAATCTCCGGGAACCAGGGCGGAGGCATAGCGCCGCGCATCCGGGCTGCCCCGTCTTTAATTTGCAAAAAAACCTCTAATGTGACTAAATGAAAATAAATACAGTCGGGTCTGGCAGAAGAAGTTGTAATCATCGATGTCCAGCGCAGCCTGCACCGCTTCTTCCAACAACCCCTGGCACTTCTTCGCCACCTTTTCGACGGCCTTGTGGATGTGCTGCCGCAGCTTGACGAAGGGGGTCTGCGCTTTGGAAAGTTTGGTGACTGTAGCTTCGACGTCCATCACTTATTCTCTGCAAATGTGTCAAAGCATACAAATCGCACCTGTGCATGACAAATTCCCCTTCCATGCTAGACATAACATGACAAATGCCATCTGTCGCAAAAAGCTCATTTGTCATGCGGTTCCTACAAGAAGACACATTTGCAGATCATATCATTGCAGCGGCATCAATTTCCACACCGGGCTGCGGCATGATTTTCACGCTGTCGTTCAGCAGGTACTTCGGCCCCTTGTTGTGGTTCTCGATTTGCAACCCGGCCTCACCCAGGAACACCTCAAAGGCCTTGTAGGTAACCGCGAGGGCAGGAAAGGACTCCCAGTGCTTCGTCTTCGCCAAGCCCGACAGGACGATCTGCCACTGGTTCGGCTTCTGCAGCTGAATTTTCCGCAGCATCTTGTTCGCCAGGTCCAGTTTTCCGTCGTCCGCCACCTCGATCAACATCTCGATCCACGTATTCGCGGAGGAGTCCCTGATCATCTCCCGGAGCTCCTCCGGCTGGCCCTTGATGAACCACGCCGGCGGCTCCGGCAGACCAGACGGCACGAAGTCGTCCTCCTGCCAGTCCGCCCACTGCAACCACTGGAGCGAAGGGTAAGAGCGCAAAACCTCCGCGTCTTCCCGAAACATATCCATTCCCCAACCGCGCGAGAAGATAGCCTCTAAAACCGCACACCCGACGTCGTGCAACTCTTCATATTTAAAGAGTGGGATTACATCTTCAATGCCGCAGTCCTTCTTGTTTTTCATCATTGTATGCGAGGCGTCGGTGATTTGCTGCCTCGTCGCTCCCGTCCACAGTTTCGCGCTAGCATCTTTCGGGACAATCCACACGGATTCCTCATCATCATCATCTTCCATCCCTCCGGAGACCCCGAACATCCTGGTGCGCGCGGCCTGGCCGGAGATGAAGTTGTGGCCGGTGGAAGAGCTGCTGGGGCCGGAGGGGCCAGCAGAGGAAGAGCTGGACTGCGCAGCCCCGCCGATTGTTTCGCCCGTCACGTCGAACTCAGAGAGGAGGGCAGTGCGCTTGTCGTTGGTGTCACTGTCGCCACCGAACTCAAAGTCTGGGTGCTCATCCTCTGCGGCGAGGAAGTCCACTGTTTTGCCGGCGGGTTTGTAGTTATCCTGATCCACCTCTTCATCTTCCTGACTGCTACTCAACATGGACGGAAGGTCGTCGTCGTCGGCTCGCGCGTCCTCCTTCCCCCCAAAGATGCCGGCCTGCTGCTCCTCGTTCGCCACACTTCCGGTAGATTGCTGGTCGTCGGCCTTTATGAAGTGCAAATGCATCGCACTAGTATAAATTGCATTACAGATTTACTGTTCATGACAAATGAAGTTTTTGGCTCTGTTTTAGGTAGGGCAATTTGTCATGCATGTTTGCAATCTATCAGTACGAGTGCGATGCTTTTGTATTTCATAGCCTTTTCCGACGCGAGGGCGTTTGCACTGGAAACCGAAGTGGGCGGGACCTCTTCCACGAGCACGCCAATGCTGTTCTGCTGCGCCAGCCGCTGCTCCGCAATGCGTTTCCGCGCCAGACCATGCTTCCGGGTTTTGTTCAGTTCCTCGTGCGTGGTGTTCAGCATGGTGAGAAAACCTTCCCGCGACAAATGCGGGAGGCGCTTGGTCGCCACCGCGAAATACTCCTCCTGCACGTTGGCGCCCCACTCCAGCACGCCTTCTTTGTCCTTTTTCAACATCTTCATGATGTTCCACCCGTGCTTCCAAATTATGAAAAATCAAAAAAGCCCATCTTCTGCGCAGTTCCAATCCCGAAAAAATGCCAGATACGTGGTTACTTCGCATTACAAAATAAAAGAATTTGCACAGAAGATGGGCGCTGATGCAATTGATATCGCAGTACGTGTTGCCGTTGCGGAGCCGCTTGTAGATTACGACATTCCCGTCGCAGGTACTGTAACCCTTGTTGTGCAGCTGCGCCTTCACAGCTTGGTCGTCGAGGGGTTCGCGCTTCTTCTTGCGACCCTCCTCGGCATCCTTTTTCTGGTTGACGGACTGCTTCGCCATCGCCTCGATGGATTTCTTAACCATTTTGTATGGTGTGTGCGGTTGCTTGCGGAAAACCTACGGGGGCTTAATTTTTTTTGGGGACTCGACCCTACTAGCTTTGCTGGATTGCTGAATCCTAATCCTGTGCGAGTTTTCGGATTTGCGCCGAAGATGATAATAAACGTGATACGGGAGCGCGGCTCCTGGTCATGCAGAAGAACAGCTTTCCGACAGCTAGATATGGTCCCACTCGGGCCCCCGCTCGAAAAGTCCTACACATAAAAAACTGCCCGACAATTTTTGCGGCACAAGAAATTTGCTGGCCTGAAAAAAGCGCGCTCGGGATTTTAGCGTAAAAAAATGGGCTTTGGAGACGCGGCCGCGCCGAAAAAAAAATAGCCAGAAAAACTCGCACCAAAATTCTCAGGAGAGCCAGCGACCGAAGTTTGCTCATCAAAATCCTAAAAAAAAATCCGTCAGGAATTTCGAAAAAATTCGGAAAACTAGATCCGAGACAAAATTTAAAATTTAGAATTTAGAAAACAAAATCTGCAAAAAAAAATGCACACTACTGCAACAAAATCGCGAAAACCTGAAAAATAGGTGGCGCAGGCGAAAAAAAAAATGCTCCGCGCCGATTTCCCTTGCAATTTCAATGGGTTTTTGTCGGTCAGGCAGTTTTCGCGATTTTGTTGACAAAACTGCATTTTGAATTTTCCGCGGCGGAACAGGGGCCGTAGGCTTACTGCGGAAAAATTTGCGGCGCCCGGCGCCAAATTTTGCCCGGGGGGCGGGCAGCGTCAATTTTGGGCGGGCCCCGGGAAGCGAATTTTTTGGCGGGCGGCGTGCAGGAATTTTTGAGCGGCGAACTACGGTGCCGAATTTTGTTCGCGCGACTGCCTCTGCGGTTTTGCTCGCTCTCTCACATCGATGGGCGATCGAATTTTGTTTGCGAAAGGACGAGCGAAACACGAGCGCAGCCCTGAGCCCTACAGCGAAAGCGCTTCGCATGCCGTGTGGGCTCGCCATGCTCTTTGACGTTTTTGCTTTTCTCTCGCGACCTTTAAAATTTATCACCTTGCGCTAGTATTCGCGGCAGCTGTTTCTGAGTGAGATTTTTCTACGCTAGCTCAGCTCGTTACTTTAGTTAACAATCTTGTTCTCCAGCTTTCCGTGAAGAAATGTGACCAACTGACCAATGATCTCATCCTTCACAGCACTCGCAAAGCGGTCCTGTATTTGCTTCCCGGTTAACGCGCTGCCCGTGCCGGCAGCCTCCCGTCGCTCCACTTCGTCGGGGTCCTCTGCATAAGAAGCTGCCACAGTCCTCGCCCTTTCAACTGCGTCGCCCATTCTTTCCTGAAGCACAGCGACCTCGAGTAACTCCGCCGGCGCAACCTCTGCTTCCAGCACACCGAGGCAGAAATTGGCGGCCTCAGCCCAGACGAGTCCCAATCCCTTGCAAATCCGCTGCCCACCGAGCCGGTGGATGTTGAAGTCTTTCGACATCGCCATTCCGACTGCTCGGTGTCGTGCTGCCGGGCCAAAAACTGTCACCCTGTCGAACAGCACACCCTCTTTGGGCATGTGTGCGCGGTGGCCAGCTGCCCCCTGTCTCGTATGTGCCCGGAGCCACAGCCCGCCCTGCAGTCGTACCGAGTATCCGCGCGGCCCGACGTCGGCCGGGGCGGAAATGTTGTCCAGCCGTTCGCGGGCTGCTCCAAGCTGCGCTGCCAGCTCCTCGGCACCTTCGCGGTACCCCTCCTGACCTCGGTGTTTGGCCCGGCCGCCCACAGCGCGATTTGGACGGGCAGCGGCGGGTCGCCCGGCAGCAGAAGCCAAGCGCTGCTGTGCGGCTGAGTTTGCGCCGGATGCCGCACTTCCCCCACTACCGGAACGCGCAGGAACAAGGGCAGCCTGCTGGGCCGGGTTCTGCAGGTAGTCCTGCAAGTCTTTTTCCCGTTGCGCGCGCTCGAACATGAGCTCCAGAACCTCCTCGTCGTCTTCGTCCTCGCTCCCGGAGGTGTCCAGACCGCTATCTTCATCACCATCGGAACCACCCTCGCCCTCCAGCCACGCCTGGTACTCCGCCAAAACATCCCCGAAGGGCTTAGCATCCGCCCACTGGAGGTAAAACGTCTGCGACGGCGGGTCGAAGTCTACTATCCTGGCAAAAGTATCGCACTGGCGGTTGCACAAATACAAATCGCGGCCATGCGTGACAGTCTGATACTTGCTTCCCGTGCCTCAATCTGCATGACAAATTTAGCCTTCCTCTTTTTTCGCCTAAGTTTCTCAGTGCAATTTCTACTAGTGCGACACTTTTGCACAGGGTATGAAGTTGCGCGTACCAATACGCGCACTCCGTGTTGTCGGAATTGCTGAAAACGTCCATCAGCCTGGCCTCCAGGCGGCACTGATCCACGGTGGGCAATGCTGCGTGCCACTGCTTCTGCTTATCCAGGGAGGGCTTCACGACGAGCTTCATGAACGAGACTCCCCTGCCGTGCCCCTCCGCCGGCGCGATGGCAAGCATACTCTTCAAAAACCTTGGCGGCGGCATCAGTTCCTCTCGCACCTTCTGCAGGTCCGCGTCTTCGGAGTGGTAGCTCGCGCTGCAGATAACCGCCCCCAGAAACCCGTCGCCTCGCCCGTCCTCCTGATGCAGTATTGCTTTTTCTAGTCGCAGCGAGGGGTTCTTCGGTAGGGAGGGGAAATCACCGAAGGCCCGATAAACACTGCTTCCGGTCCAGGGTAGTGGTGTTGCGCAACACGCGGAGCGCATGCGGGAAATCTCGTCTTCTGTCTCTGACCAGTATCTCCGCAAATCTGGCAGTGGCACTGGCAGTGGAGGTCGGGTCGTCAGCCGCCCCTTTGCGCTACCGCGCTTTTCGTTGTCGGCGTCTGCGCTCGTGGTTCTGGGTGGCCCCCGTGGCTGGTTTTCAGGGGCGCGGGGATTGGCGGCAGAACTGCTACTGCTACTGGGCCGATTATTACTGACTATTAGTGCCCCGGCCTGGCCGAGTTTCATCGTAAAGCCTGCTAGGGGACGTGGGGAGTTGCAGGCGCTGCTGCCCGACTTTGCACCACCCGTGCGCAGCTTCGCTTCGTCCCCTGGCATGCGCCGCTTTGCCACAGGCCCGGGGTCGCTGTCGCCAATGTTGCTCTCCCCGCGCTTCCACTTTTTCGCCGCGAGGTGAAAGGTTTCCCGCGAATGCTGGATCATCACTTTTGAATTTTCCACCTTGAACATCTCCGGGTTCTGCAAAAGCTTCTCCCAGTTCCCCTCCTGCACCTCCTGCCCGATAAATTTGGAATACGCGGACGCCTTCTGCGGCTGCGGGACCTTCTTTTTTTTCGTGTCTTTGTGTACTGAACCCAGATGCTGTCGTATCCCAACCCAAAACACGCCGCCCCTGTGGTTTGAGATGTGCCGCCCATGTACAAATTCAGAGCAGACATGCAAAAGCCCTACACATTTCAAACTTCAGGGGGCCCCTGCGTGGTTTGTGTTGCATATCGTCCATCGCAGCGTTGCTGAGCTGCGGTATCAAGACCTCACCGGAGAGGCCTTCTATCGTCCGCCTGTGTGTGTTGAGGCCAACTTTCCGCGACGAGTAGGCATGCTGGGATTCTTCCGCCTTCGTGCCGAAGGTGAAGACGCTACGAAGGGCGGAAGCGAGATCACAAATTTCGCGGTCGGATAGGTTTGCCATCTTTTTCCAGTCGTCTTGTAGCCCGGCAAGCTTTTCTCGGAAGCGCGCCAGCGCCACGGTGCGTCTTCCTTCGTCTTCAACCGCGATATCGAGAAGAGGCCCCAGAACACCGTCGACATCTATCTGCGTCATGCGCTTCATCATCCGCATCGTGACCCGCACCAAACTACCGGCCACTTCAGATACGCTGAGCTGCTCGGACAATGGCCCGAGGTTCTGCAGGATGTGGGCCACCTCCAGCAACTTATCCTGTACAAAAGTATCGCACTCGTACTGATTGCTGTTATGCATTACAAACTTGCCTTTCAAGATAAAACAGCATGACAGATTCAGTCTTTCATGCTGAGAGAATTTGCAATGCAATTTATGAGAATGCGATGCTTTTGCAATTCATACCACGCGACGGCCCATAATGCTTCAAATCTATCCGTCAGAGTTTCGCCGGCGAGAAGCGTTTCGCGCCGCAACGTCTCACGCAAAACCACCTCGAGCGGCCGCACCACGATTGCGACCCGAAGCAGCTTGCTGCTAAACATCGCGGCCCAGCCTTTGCGGAGGCCATCGCGGAAGCCGTCTTTTTTTACTGCGACGAGCGACTCGCCGCCGAGTGCTGCAAACAGCAGCAGAAGCCCGCAGCTCCGGCCGAGGGACAGCCATCGCGTTTCCGTTCCCACCTGCAGCTTCTTGACGATCCGGCACAGGACGTCCTGCGCCTCCGCCCTGCTTCCGGCAATAGTCTTCTTCTCGACCCTGCTGAAACGTACGTCAGTGGCGAATCCGCTGCTGTTGCTGTCTTCGCGGCCCTGGATGCACTCGCTCAAAATTCGGAAAAGCGCGTCGTCCCCACTGTCAACGGGAGTGCTGTTGCCCACCATGGTGTAGGAGCCTGATGCGTTGGAGGAAATTCCAGGTGTGGAAAAGCATTCCGCGGCCCACGCCTCCAAGTCCTCAAGGAGATCACACTTGTGATACACCAGTTTACGCGTAAACACGTAGAGGTCGTGCCCCCACCGCTTAAACTCTTCCGCGGAGGCAAACATGGTGTTTCGGACTTCGTCGACTGCAGCCAACTGGATCCAATGATGCCCACACCACTGCGTTGCGGCGAAGGTCGATTTGCTTAGTCGGGCCGCCATTGAGCTCCAACACCTTGCGACCCTGCGAATTTTCCTTCCCGCGCCACCACTGTCCGACACGTTGCACAACATGAAATTCCGCAGCGGGGCGCCCCCGCTTACCGCGTTCTCGACCTCCTCGACGACGGATTGCAAGCGTGGCCAAACATACCCCGTCGACTTCTTTCGCAGAAGAACCAGGTCAACCGGGATCCGGAACACCGTCGCAAGCCGCTGTCCTGCAGCGGCCAGTTTCTTATAGTGGAAGACAAATTAGGCGCCCTGGTCTGCTTGAAATGCTTTTTTTCTCATATATTGACGAAATCCTGCATGCACTTTCGCATTGCAAACAGATGCCGAGGATGCCTATTTTGTGTCCCATAGGCAGTTTTGCATGTACAAACAAAAACTTCCCCGCTGTGATTGTGCTGGCCCTTTGCTATGCCTCCACCACTTGCAGCTGAGACTGTGACCCCCAGCGGTGTGCCGTCGTGCCCGAGTCTTACTACGCAGGCCGACGAAGCGCTGGATCTGGCTGCCAGTTGCAGCTTCTCCTTGTTGTACTTCTTGAGATACTCCACGGCGCGCTGCCGTAATCGCACCAAGACGGACGGGACGACTGAGATACCGGTCAAAAGGGAGGCGGTCTTGCAGAAGGCTCGGTACGGCTTGTATAGAGTGCAAAAATAACCGGCGACCCCTATCTGCAAACTCAGCTTCCACAAAAACCGTCTTTTTATGGATGCTGCTGAGCTGTAGATAAAGATCGCCGGCACGTTTTCCAACATACCAAAGTCTGGGCGAACATCAAAGCCCCGATCAGGTGGCCCTTCTCGTCGTCCGCGAGAGATTGCCGCAACGGTAGCCCCTCCATTGCAAGGAAAATTCAAGACGTGAACTACTTGCTGCAAATTGCGTGAACTTTTTCTAGTGCTTACAGGTATGCTATCATTCCACTCAGAGCCGAAAAATGTTTCAAGTATGTGACATTGATGGTGCGAGGGGGGTGCGCGAATACCGATGCGCGCCTTACCTTTTGCCAGCCGATGAACGAAGGCGGCCGCCATTTTCCGTTTTCGAAGACATCGCACACCCTCGTGCATTTTGTTCCTGTTTGGCATTGCTCACGATTGCTCTCTCTCTCCATGGTTTTCCCGTTTGTTCCGAGTTCGAGTTTTGCTAAGTTACGAAACGACGAGGTGCTGACTTTGGCTTGCTACGATCGTGTTCTATCAACCACGTCGATAGGGCGTGTTCAAATCGCCGAAACTCCAGCAGCAGGCACACGTCCGGGATCCGTCGCGACGTCCGGTTTCCGAAAGTACCATATGAAATTTTTTTCCCGATTTTGCAGATTTTGCTATCTTGGGTCTCGGAACATATGACTGGAGCGTTCCACGGGACGTAGTAGGGCCGCCCAAATACGGGGCAGAAGGCCGGCGGCTTGCAGAGAGGTTCCTTCGAGACGGGCCGCCGGATATTTGTGGAGGAAGGCCTCGGACAAAGGGAACGCAGGTTCTCCCGCACTGCACGCACACCCTAGCAGGTCCCCGACTTTCACCGTTGTGCGTTGCTGTTGTTTTTCCTGGTGTAGTTGTTTTGCTTTCGCTTTCATCGTCTTGGTCTCGCCGGAGCTCAAGGTCGTTTTCACGACGGATCCAGCAGTTTTTTGTACAAAGTCCGACGACCGAAGAAGGTCTTCGCTTTTAGTTTCACCTTCTGCCGATGATGCTGATGACGCCGCTGAATTAAGGAACGAAGAACTTTCTTCATCAATCTGCTGCAGTGCTTCTACTTCTTGTAGCGCCACCATAGAGCTTGACGTGGCCGCCCTTGTTGTTGTTGGCGCTAAACTGCTACCACTTGTAGGCTTTCTACCGCCCCGGAGATTCGGATGGTGATGCTGGTTGTTTTTACCAACTATGTGATCGGCGCTTTCATCAAGTAGAGGCCGCTCTTGAAGATCCAGCTCCGGCTTCGCTTCTTGCTGTTGGTGTTCCGGCTGCTCAGACGCGACGACTTGGTCGGCGTCTGCTTCATCACCGCGCTCTTCGAGAGTCTCATCTTCGCCTTCCTCGTCCACGGCCGTTCTTCTTGGAGAGTTTAGGCCTTTACTGACTGCTCCTCCAAGAACTTCAAGAGCGGCGCGTCCGGACGCTGGCTCCGCGGCAGGATTAATGGGGGCAGTTCTACTCTCTTCGACGTCGAAGACGGCATCTGCGGGCAGATCAGCTCTGTAAGAGCTTGCGTGTGCATCCGCTGGGGCTGTTGTAGTCCGCCCGCGACTTCTTGGCAGCTTCATCTGCTCTTTGTGTTCGTCGTTTGTCCTCGTGGTCGTGGTTCTAGTTGCTTTCCCGCTGGGCCGGGCGTCGCTTTGGCTACTTTCATCTTCCCGGTTGTAAGAGTAGTCGCCCTGGTAAACACAAGCATCTTCTGCGTTCCGAGGATCAAAAAAAGAAGGAGCAAACAGAAGTGCTGCCGCGCAACAACGACTGCGGTGCCGGTGCTCCCGGCACTCCCCGACAGGACACAGTTGGAGAGAACCATCCTCGGGTGGAATACAAAAACTGCAGCGGAGGTGGAGATGTCTTCCTTCTAGCAACACCACCCGTAGTACCACATCAACGACCAGCAGCGGATCCACATAGGCAAATCGGAGTCGTTCTTCTGTTGCAGGAGCGACGGGCGGGACGTGGTCGTGTCCGAGGATGATTTGACTGTCTCGCCTTCCTGCCACGGCAAGAACCGCAGTTCAATTTAACATGATTAGTGGCTCAATAATTTTTTGTGTTAACCGGCTCATAATTTATGTCTACTGGCTCGCGACCAGCTGATAATCGTGTATCTACTATAGTCGTTAGTCTAGAAAGCGTTTTATTAGATGCAATTTTACAATTATCACAAAGAAATGACGAGGACGACGTCGTCGATGAGGCCTCCAACATTTCACTCTAAAGCCCCCGCTCGATCTTGAATATATATTTCATCGAGATCGCAAACAATAGTTTGTTGACTCTCGAAAGCCCTCATAAGATTTCAACGATAGCAAAGTTGTGCCTGGTTGTCTCGTTTAAGTACAACTACTACGATTACCCTCCTGTTACGAACACAATTTCACTGCAAGGGGAGTGCTCCTACTAAGTGACGCGCTTGATACTCACGGCCGCTAAAAAAAAAGCGAGACCTAAATAAGTAAATCGACAAACGTCATCCACTTATAATATAGTTTTCCCCCATCGAAGCGCAACCGGGGATCGTTATATATAATGGGTCCGTGCGGAAACGAAACGAAATAAGTACCATTTTTCCACAATATGACATTCAAGGCACCATGCGCATCTATACCATGATCTGCCTTTGCGGGCACTAGCACCCGGCATGGCAAAGATATGCTGGCCTACCGACCACAAACTACACAAACATGTATTAAGTAAGCTATCAAGATTCATTTTCGTAAACTCCTTCCACATCAAATCCAATTGGGAATGAACTTTGTGAGCGTGGTGATCGCGGCTCACCTCCATATCCATTGATATTTTTGTACAAGATTCTGGAGAAAAGCCATTATTTCATGCGGTGGCGAGCTGAGAATCTTCGACGAAGAAGTTATCCTCAAAAAATTATTGGGACAAAAAATGAGAGAGAGTGACTGTGATGAAGTTTTACATTTCATACTCGTGAAACTAAAGCAAAATCACAGATCATATGCCATGACGAGAAATTCAAGTACGCAGGATTGAAAAATAAGTGTGTTAGGCTTCGTGGACACACCGAATCAAAAAAAAAAAAACATTAGGATCAGCCCGCGAAGATATGCATCTAATATTAACAAAATACCGCCAGAAGCCTATTCGAGTGTTGTCACTCTCTCGTCATCTCATCGTCTTCGACTCCAAAATCAACTCCTGACAGCCCTCGATATGGGTTTATAGTTGAGGTTCAGCACGGGACGAGGTTGTTGACTCCGCGCGTCGTGCTCTGCTTGCGCCGCAGGTCGTGCAGAAGAGGAGGCAGAAGAAGTGGTTGTGCTTGAGTTCTTGTTCCTCGTAAACGAGCTTCTCGTCGCGTGCTGCGCGACTCTGGAAGCTTCTGCGGGCAACATAGATGAACAAGAAGTGCTCGTCGTTCCTTCTGGTGGTGCGCTCATGATCATCCGGCTTGTTTTACGTTCCAGTGCTTCTATTCGCTGCGCCAAGTCGCAATCACTAAGCCGCGGGTGGTGGCTCCCCCACGAGGATGCCATGATTGTTCCGTGCTCGTTGTGCGCAGATGAGGTCCTCTCCTCGCCGAACAATCCACCTTGAGATGAAGATCGTCGTTCCACCTTCGGCCGCGGCTTCTGCAATGATCCTGGTGGACGGAAATGCTTCGGCAACGGTACGAGTATGAACTGCAAAAGTATCGTACTCGTATAAATGCATTTTGATTTTACAAATTTCCTCAGCATGAGAAATAAAATTTGTAAAATGCAGATTTGCCTTGGAAACAAGATTTGTAATGCAAGACTTGCATTTGTACGAGTACGATACTTTTGCACAGGATAACGAGTGAGGGCCTGCCATTGCTTTGCGTTTGCGTTTATCAAATGCAAATATGTCTGGGCCTGGAAGGATGCAGAGGTTTGTGATGCAGCTTTGGGATGACCCAGAAGGGCAACCATGCACTCCCCAGCACCACAGGTTTTTAGAAGGTCTTGTCTCTCAATGCGTAATTCGCACGAAAAAGCCCTTCTTTCGGTGGCCAGAAATGTGCAGCTTTTGGCTTCCATGCAAATGACAGATTTTTGTGTCATGTGAAACGCGCATCACAAGTTCGCATCCTTCCAGACCCAGACATATTTGCAATGCATAGCGTCAATGGGTAGTGCAGCAAGCCCTGCGCTCGTTCGTTTTCGGTTCCGACGCTGCTACTGGACGAGCAGCTCCAGCGAGACGAGGGTTGGTTGATGTTGACAGAGTTCTTCGAAGAAGTAGTCGAGGCGGTATTTTTTGTGTCGCTTCTGGTTCTCCGATTCTGGCGCGGACTCCGACTCCGATTCGTTATCGTTCCTGTCGACGGAGAGGAAGTACAAGTAGATGGCAGCGTGTTGTCATTTGTTTTCCCTTGATGTCCTCTCTTCAGGCTCTTCCTCTTTCCCGCTTCTTCTTCCTCACCCCCGCCCAGCTCAAATCCGGCTTGCTTCCAGGCTTCTTTCGCTTGTTGGAAGCAGGGCGAGAAGTCGTTGCTGTCTATGCGGCCGAGCAAGTTCGAGTGTCTGGACTGCATTCTACTTTCCCGGATGATTTCCTGCGGTTTCGGCCGATCCGCGAAGGGGAGCAAATTGTAGTCGTCCACTACGTATCGGATGCAAATGTGTTTGCGTCTGGAAACTTGTGATGGAAGGAGGGGAATATTGAGCACACTGTAATGCGCTCCCCAGCATGACAAGTTTTTCCGTGGTTCAGAGTTGCGTATTTCGCATGAGAAACTGCGCTTTTGCATGACAGACAGCAGGACCTCTTCGCGGGCACGCAATACAGAGTTTGGAGTCATGCCAGTCTACCATGACAAACACAAATCTCGCAATCTCCCAGACCCAGACATATTTGCAGTTCCTACTACGCAGAGTTTTACGACCGTAATGTACGCGTTGCGGACTTGGAAGTCTTGCAGTGGGTTCAATTCTCCGGGCAGCTTCGGCCATTTGGACAGCATATGCATTGCAAATGTGTCTGGCGGGTCTGGATGAGTGGAGGAGTTTGTCATGCACATTTTGCTTGACTTACGGTGACTGTAATGCATGCCCGAGAACGAAGAGTAGAAGTATCTCTATCACTGGTTTTATTGTTAGGCCTTCCTGATCATGCTTCTCCCGCATGAGAAACGCCATTCCCGCGTAGCAAACGGTAGAGTGCTCTCGCTGTTCCTGCAATACAGTTTTTTTTAGAATCTTCCAGAGGCAGCAGCACAGGTTCCATCTTTCCACACCCAGACATATTTGCAACGCATACAGCACCCGGTCCCACTCCCGAACGGTTCGGATCAGGTCGGCGGTCGTGGAGATGGGGACTTTGTTGGTTTTTGTAGTAGTTTATGCAATACAAATTTCCCGTACATCTACAACATGCATCAAAACAAATTTCACCAACTTAGAAGAAGCAACTTGTCATGCTAACTAAAATATGCAGAAAAATTTTGTCATGCAGAAACAGCATTTGTACGTGTTTGTGCGGGAAATTTACTGTGAGTATAGTTTGCTCGCCCTCCCCCTCCCCCTGTGGTTTTACTTCTTGCTGCTGTTTTAATACTCCATATGCGGCGCCGTCCTCGTCCACATGATCCGCAACATGATTCTCCTGAGGATTTATTTGAACCGCTTCCCGCACCTGCTTGCGTCTGGTCAGCAGGGTGAACAACGGCCCCGAGAAAGGGGCTTGCTCCAGCTCAACGTAGGAGGTGAAGATACAGCCGTTCGGGAGGTGGTCCACGTAGTCTTTTGCGGCGGAAATGAACACATTGGCGGTAATCTTATGCATTGCAAAAGCATCGTACTAGTAGAAACCGCATTACAAATTTGGCCAGCATGACAAATGGAATCTGTAATGCGGATTTAACTTGACAAAAAAATTTGTCATGCATAAATGCGATTAGTGCGAGTACGATACTTTTGCACAGGATAAATCTTCACGTCGCACAATTTCGCCGCCAGCGCGGGAACTTCTTCGATGGCTTTGGTGTATAACCCGCTCAAGTGTTACAATCTCAAGAACTACAATAGAATATGGAAATCTGTGATGCAAGAGTGCATGATCTAGCCAAGTCTCATAGGGTTGCGCATGACAAGTTCCGGAGCCCTAAACCCCACGACAATCTGGCGAAATTTGTATTGCAAAAGATGGAACGCTGTGCGACTCTGTCATGCTCATCATGCGACACAAATTCCAGATTCTATTGTAACGTTTGAGATTGTAACGTTTGAGCAAGTCATATGGTGGGGTCGATCTTTTTCAACACGCGCTGAATGGTGAACATAGATTTTCGTAGGCCTTCCGCGCCCCCACACAGCCGCCATGCCTCGGCGTCCAGCGCGCGGTAACCCTGCGGTTAGGGCAGTGGGAGGAAGATAAAACGGAAGGTTACGCTTGTCCTATCAGGAACAAACGCAGAAATCATATATGACCGTTTTGCACTTATATATACAATTTTTTTAAACATAAGCATGTTGTAATCGAAAGCGAAACTCACCCCGAGTAGAGTATGTCGTTGTGCGCGACAACTCTTTATCACTATCAATACGTATTACCTCCGAGCATTCCCTCGCCACGTGGTGTTTCATTTCCGCCAAATTTCCTATCAAATGTAAAAATGTCTGGGTCTGGAAGATTGCAACTTGTCATGCTGTTTTTGGACTTTAAAAAAATTTGTATTGCATGACCAGCAAGAGGGGTATAATTTGTGCTACACGGACAGGGCATTTCTCATGCGGAAGATGCATCCGGAAGCCCTCTAAAAGTCTGCGATGCTAAGTCATGCATTACAGGCATCATGGGCCATGAGAAATATGCATGACAAATCTTGCATTGTTCCAGACCCAGACACTTTTGCATTTGATATTTCCTTCAAACTCGCAATTTTCGTGCACGCACTTCCTGCGGACGTGTGGACAAGGAAAAGTGTCGACCCAGTCGCGGTCAGTGATTTTCACGTGTTTTCGCCACTCCGCCATGGTCATCACGCCTGCACAGCTCTTGCAGCGCACCTGCTCCTGTTGCAAAAGTCTCGTCGCGAACAGACTTTTCTGGAAGCGAAATTCCGTCCCCAGCGGTTTCCGGCAGTTGAAGCAGTTGGGTCGCGTGGCTAGTTTTCCCGCGCAAACGGCGCACGCGAGGCGGCCGCAACAGGTGGCCTCGTGAGCGACGGTGTCGATCAACTCGAGGCACACCGGACAGGTTGCCTGGGAGGCGAGAGAGGAAGTCGGGTCGATGAGCTCCATCTTTTCTTGGAAATGGTGTGAAGTTACGTATCTATTTATTCCGATTTCTTCACAACTTCTCGCACCTCCATCACAGGATGTTGTCCAAGAAGGAGCTCTCCCTCGACTCTATTACGACAAAATGTAGATTGGGTCGTTGGAAAAAAAAACGAAACAAAAATACAGTCGTGCACGTCATGGTCGTGGCAGTGGAAGAACCGCCGATCGCATTTGCAGAAAAAGTAGTTTATTTCATCACTCCCGCGACATAATTTGCAAAAAAAGCCGGCTTTAGCTCGTCGTTGTTTTGTGCCCTTCTTTGAATTTTTTTCAATAAATCAACTCACCACCTCTGTTGAATCACTCCAGTTTGGCGATCTCGAGAAGAAGTCCCATGCCCGCCGAAGAGGTTGCGCGTCAAAAAAAAAGGATGGATCTCATTTTCACGAGGAATGTATGAATGGTGTGAAAAAGAACTAAGTCACGACTCCAATAACATCGCCTGAATCAGTTTTACCTTCACGTTGCTCGTGGCGTGTATGATAGCAAACTGGTACTGGGATCATATTCATGTTCTTCATAATGGATTGGTGTGTGTGTGTGTGTGTGTGTGTGTCCAATAATCGACGACATCTCTCGGCCGAGAACATTAGGCGCAGTCTCTTTCAATTGCAAGAAAGGAGGTAGCGAGCCAAGATGAAAAGGCGAAAACTACTACACATACACCACTTTCAACTCTGTGGCGCTCGGCTTCGAGTATCCAACCCGATTCACGGCGAAAATCCGGAAGGAATAGCGGGACGTCTTCACAACGGGCTCCACCTTGCAGGCAAAGGTGTCACACGTCCCCTCGTTGTCGTAGCTGGACACGCTGCCCTATCGTATCTAAAAACGTCCCCACCCCGTAGTTGTAATGCCAAAGGAATTGCAGCACACTTTGCCACCCCCTCTGCCCCAGGCCGCAGATGGCTTGACACGCAGGGGGGGTAGGTCAGGCAGACACCGAGGTGCCATCACCATCATCCCCTATTTGTAATGCAAATCCGCATGCTGAAAAATGTTTCTCATGCGGAGCCCCATGAGAGGCATTGTCTAAGCGCGTTTTGGAATTTGTCATGCTCAAAGCGGCATGATGCGCAAGATCTGTGACCACGCTGCTGAACTTGCTACACACGATGACACTACGGGGCCAAACTTGTCATGTGCAACAACCAAAGTTGGCTGATTTGTCTAGCAAATTTCCCATCGTGACTATGGGGTGGTGACGTTTTTGCTCAGGATATGCCCAGGTCGGTCCACAGGGTGTCTTTGGGCATCAAATCCGTCCAGTAGGAGCAGTTCGCAATCTTGCACATCCAATATGACAGTGCACAGCCCCTCATTTGTATGGCATGAACAGCAATACAAACACCAGCTCACATGGAGCCTATGCATGACAAATCTAAAAAGAACCTAACGTGGTACTGTTTGGGTTTCCAGAATTTCTCATGCATAAATAGTGATACAAGGGAACAACTGAAATTGCGATTTTGCATGAGAAATGAGAACGAGGGGGAATTGTGCACTTTCATATCCAAACGCGGTAAAACAAGATCCTGCTCCCCCCGTCGGTGCGCGGACGACGCCAGGAAAGTTCCAGGCGGTCCTGATTTATTGCCGGTGTCAGAGATCTACTTTCATTCACAGCGAACAAAATAAAACTACACGTCGAAGGTGACCCTGAACTGAAGGTGGAACGGTCGCGGGGAAAATTTATTTATATTAAAAATGGGCCTGTAAGTCGTGGTGCAACAAAAAACTCAAAAGAAGAATAAAAATCCTTGATAGAAGTACCTTCTTCGCCGGTGCCTCCAGTGTAAAGCTCTCCGCAGAAACCGGCTCCGGCACGGTTGGAGCCGTTTTCACAGAAAGCCCGCTGCTGTTTTTGGTGTCCAGCATTCCCACCCCGCACTGGTTGTTTGCGGTGACTTGGAAGTGATAGTCGGAATTCCCAACCAAATTTTCCCTCACCACGAAGCGCGGCTCGCGCACGCAGTCCGCGACGACTTCCCAGGTGTTGCGGTCGGCGCTGGCGCTGCGTTGAAAGATATCAACCGTAAAAATGTCTCGGTCTGGAAGAATCCGACTTGTCATGCTGATTTTGGATTCTAAAAAAATCTGTATTGCATGAGTAGCAAAGAGACAGAGAGTCCAAGTCTTGCTACACGAAAAGAGCATTTGTCATGCGGTATAGGCGTCAGGAAGCCCTCACGAAATCTGTGATGCTAGGGCATGCATCACAGACAGCAGGAGTCATGCAAAATGTGCATGACAAACCTGGCAATCTTCCAGACCCAGACATTTTTACATTTGATAAAAGACCGTGAAAGACGACACCTGGCTGTCGTCGAAGACTTGCCACTCGAGAGAGATTTCCGTCTGCGACTGACTTGCGCTGAAAATGCTGGTCACCGGTTCCGGGGCGGCGCGGTAACGAACGCTTTGGAGATAAACGCGGCCGACTAGCTATTCTGTGCAAAAGTATCGCGCTCGTAGTAATTGCGATCAGGCATGACAAATGTCCCTTTTTAGGTGAGTCAGCATGACAAATTTCACTTTTCCTTTATGCAAAATTTGTGATGCAATTACAATTTATACTAGTACGATAATTTTGCAATGCATACTAGCTCCAGGTCTTTGGCGTAAATGGGGTGCCCGTGCTCCTGCTCGGTGTAGGAGAAACCCTGGACGATTTTGATAGGTACTCGTGATATCAAAAAGAGAATGGCGGTCTTGGTCAGTGCTGTTCAAAATCCCAATCAAGCTTGAGCCATTCACTAGTTCGAACATTCCGACGTCCACTATGTTTCGACACAGCATGAATCCACTGCATGGGGCCTTGCGGCCCTTCATTTGTACTTCGTCAATACATAAGAATTCAGCATGTGTAAGTTGTAAGTACCTGCAGCGCTGCCCGCAGGTCAAGGGATACCCTCCCGACGAGTCGTTGCTATCCCATGAAAATTAACCATCCCCAGGCACTTTTTGCATGACAAACACAGACTTCACTACATGTTTCGCATGACAAATTGGATCGGGATGGTTAATTTTCAGGGAATAGTTGTTCTGAAGAAGTCATAGACTCGGTAAGCAACCAAACGTCTAGAACGAGAAACTCATGTGCGCTCGTGGGTCGGAGCAGTAGCAAATTTGGCTCCTCCTGACACCGCTTCTCGTCCAGCTGGGCAAAATCCCGCAGGGTGCCAGTCGCGCAACTCGATGAGGACGACCCGTGGCCATCAAGAGAAATTTTTCGCTTCTTGTTGACAGATGTACTACTTCTTGAAGACGCTGTTGCCGATGATGCCTGTGCCTGTGGTCCGGTGAAATGATCATGCGCACTTATAATTTTCTGATACTCCAGCGGGTAACTTGCAACCGCCGCCTGGCTCTCCCAATCTGGCCGCCGGTCAACCGCGTCTCCCGATATGGGAGATTTTCCCGAATTTCGTGTTTTGCTCCCTGATGTTCCAAAGTCGAACTCGATTCGAATCTGCTTTTGCTTTTTCCCACCTCCGTCAGTCGACCCATCACCATCTCCATCCGTGAAGATGTTGTTGTGGTCAAACGGCTGCGAAAACACGCGGTCCCCGGGCCTCGCCGTCACTGCGGACTTGCTGAGCAACACGTCCGACTCCTTGGCCGGCCAGCGCAATTTGGCGAGCGGCTCCTGTCGTGGCAGCGTGCGGGAAAGCACGACATACTTGGATTTGGTGAACATAGATTTCGGTGGAAATTTCGATCCCTCATACATTTCCAACTCGGAAAATCCCACTTCCAGCAGATGCGACCGCGGCGGCTTGTTTTCAACACCTTGTGCCAGTGCGGGGGCTGTGCTACTGCCAGGAGGTGGGCCGGCGTAGGACGAGGAGGGTATAATCGGTCCGGCCGTGGTTCCTACAGCAGCGGCAGGCGCTCCAAAGGTGAAAGTCGGGGGCTGCTGCTGCAGCTGCTGAAGCTGCCCGGCTCTTGTACTACCAGGTCCACCAAGCATCATAGCCGGTAGGCCGCCTCGAGGGCCAGCAACACCTACACCAACAACTCCTTTACCAGCAATGGATGCAAAGTTTTCATCGGCTGTCGTAGCATCAGCGTTGGACGAAGCTGCTGCAGCGAAGTTGGGCACTTGTTGATGTTCGTATTGGAACGAAGAAGAAGATGGTCCCATGTAGTTTAATTCCTTACCGCCAAGCGAGCTGCCCTTCGTCTCTCCCCCACGATTTTGGTTTTGCTGGACACGAAAATTATAGTTGCCAGTGTCCTCGAGCGCGGCTTCAGCCGTTTGAAAGGAGCCCGTTCGAGCGAAGTGCGCAGACGATAAAGGTGCAACAGGTGGCTGTTGGCCGAGGAGTCCTTCCTTTTGATGTTGCGATGTTGGTACGGCATCGAATTCGAAACTACTCACGTTCGACGTCGGCATCATAATTTTTCCAATTGACGGCAACGGCGCAGGAGCTCCACCGGAAAGCACAGCTCGCGGCGCTGGCTGAAATGCGCCTGCTCCAGGCGGAAGCAAGAGCACGGGAGGTGCAACAGCCTCCGTTTTCGACCTGCTCGAACTCGCCGCACCGGTCCCAACGATCACAGCAGCACCTGCCCCACTCACTTCCGAAGGGGTTTTGCTTGCGGCTGACGCAGGTGAAGGCATGGTCGGCGCACGACCAGGAGGTCCATGTATTAATTGATGCGGTGTACTAGCCATTGCTTCGGCGGCTGGGGTTGGTGACAGGTTTATTTTCGACGTTTTCTTACTGAGATCGGAAAACAGGAATACGGGTTTGTTTCCTCCAAGTGCAATCGCGGGTGAAGATGATGTCAACATGTGCGGAGGCTTGGAAAAATACGCTGGTCCTCTACTACTCAGATGAGAACCACCTCCCAACATGCTTTGGCTCTCGTCCTCAGAGCTGTTGGGCGCGAAACCCACCACGCCGTCGCTAGTTGTACCTGGTCCAAGAACACGACCCGTGCTCAGAACGATCGGCGGAGTTGCGGTCATCGTACTATGCTGCGTCACCGAAGTTGGCGGTAGCGAGGAGACAGGAGGTTTCAGTGGACCGCGGTTCGACGTGATGGGCGAGGGGTGGTAGTCGGAGGGCTGACGCGAAAACTCTTCCACGTCGAAGATGGCGGGGTCGGTGGGCACTTCTATATTGGCATGTTGCAGCTGATGGGCCGCAACTTCCGCAGTTGCATGGGGCAGATTTACTTCACGAGGAAACTCGTCTTCGGCGAGATGATGCGCAATAGAAGTACCATCACCGCCGGGAGGTGGCAACATCGGAGACATGTCCTCGCGAGCAGCCATTGGACCTCGTCGTCCTTGTTTGGGACTCTATTTGTCGGGCGGTTGGTGTTGAGTTGGCTAGAACGAATAGAGGCCTAGATACATACAAGGGCCGAGCCAAGGGACTACCTCTCTGAGGGTTGGTAAACTCCTCGTACAAATTCGGTCAACGTGAAGACGCATGGATAAGCGCACGCATGAAAACTATGATCTCAGCGTCTTTATTATACGCAAGTTGTAGCACCACCACGGTTGACGTCAGACTCAGAACATCACCCGCTGCGTCACGATCACCGAATGACAATAATGAGGGTAGCCGCGAGAGCCGCATGTACAAAACATTTGCCACCATGCGTGCTTGCAAAAAAAGTAAATGCCAAATATCATACCAGAGGGAGCCCCACAACGGAGGAGGAGGGGTATCATCGCGAAGAGCAACAGTCAGCTTCGCCACCCCCGGCTGCAGCGTCCGAGTAAGTATTATAGATACAACGGACAGCGCCGCGTGCCCGCGCTTTCTTTGGCCCAACCGGCCCTGGTACACAAAGTCGCTGGCCAAAGCCAGGAGGCCGGTCGCGCATGACCAGGGCGCGACGCAGTTTCATGTCCATTCCGTGAAATGATAGGCGCAAAGCGCCGCGCGCCCTGCGCCCTGCGTCGCAGCGATGCGCCGGTGCCCAAGCACCCACCCCGCACAAGCCGAGGCAAACCAAGAGGGGGCGGCCGGGGACTCCCTGCCCGTCATCAATGTGGCCGCGCTTCCTTGGTTGCAATATTGCACGCGGCACATCTGAGCCCCACGCGCCATCTTTTCGCCCCGTCCGCGCCGTCTGCTAGCTCCCGCACCACTCTGCTGGCGGCCCTGTCGTGGCTGAGCCCGCGGGCTTTTTGCTTCGCCGCGCCCGCCGGGCTGATCTCGGGCGCCACGCGCCTCCTTTTCTTTTCGCCGGCAAGGGCGCGGCGGCTTATCTCGGAGCGATTTTCTGCACACGCGCACCGGCGCGAGCTCTTTCACGGCCGCTCGGCCCGGAATTCATGCGGCGGCCGACCTGCATGCCATGCAATTCGTGGGCGCGCCTCCGATATGCCACGCAGCCGCGCGGGGTGCGGTCATTCAGCGGCTTCTTCCTGTGCCTATGATTAGTGGGCGAACAATCCGACTGCGCCTTTTCATCCCCATCGCGCAGGCGGAGCTGCTTGCAGAAATTCTTCCGGGCAGGTTTCACGCCCGCGCTGGGGTTGGGGCGCAACACGCCACGGGCCCGGGAATGGTTAGCCCCTGCCACTTTTCGCCTGTCTGTCATAGACTGCGACGGCTTCAAGGGGAACGCAATGCGGACGCGGCCCAATCCGGGCCGCGTTGCCCCCCCCACACCTCGGGAACAGGCGCCAAGGGCTGCCACTCTAAGAGCGAGGCCGGTAGTCCGTGGCCATCGGGAAGATTGGCCGCGTGGAACTGTTCGCCTGCTTCCGCTTCGCTGTTCGCCTCGACTAACGTTTTGCCATTGGGAGGTTGCTCGAGCAAACTCACCTCGTTCGCCAACCGGTCGACCTGCGTCGTGGAAGCATTCGGCCTCTCGCCCAAACTCCACAGAAGGTTGGCACGTAGTGGGGCCCTGCGGCTCCTCGCGCTGCGGCTGGTTTTAGCTTCCTTCCTGCTGCGGCTGTTGCCCCAGCAGCGGGGCCGCCGTACCTGTCGAACTCCAATGCAATGAAGCCAGCGCCCCCCACTAAGGCGGAACCTTCCGAAGCCGCGGACGTTTCCGGCGCTGCCATTCGCGAGCCCTAGCGGCACGGGCTTCGGCCCGCGCCCGGCTGAAGCAAATGGCGCCGGGCCGCAATTTTGAACAACCAAGCCCCGCCGCTCTTTCCGGATGCCAGGCGAAAAACCATTGCGGCGCGCGCCTCCACGCAGGCGCCTACTTCGGCGGCGGGAAACCGGCCGGGCGGCCGCGCGCAAGCTTACAGCGCGGCGCACTGGCGGCGCTTGGCAAACGCCGCGACCCCCCTTGCGCGCAAGGTATTGCTGCAGGTAGGCACCGCAAGGCACACGGTCAAATTGAACAAAACGCAGCCGAGTTGCTTTCAAAATGTTGCGGCTTAATGGTGAACACGCATGAGCAGGAGTGAGACTGTGAACAGCTGAAGCAGACACAGGTATCTGTGAATTCCCGTCGAGTATGCGGCATCATTTTCTTCCACCCTGATGTCCGAGGAGCTTGTAATTAGATGTACTCAGGTTTCATCATGGAGCCGCTTCCATTTCATCAACATCAACTAACGACGATGTCTATCAGCAACAAGCCTGACACTTCCTTTCTTCCGAAACAGCAACACACGAACTGGAAGTGTCCAGCTTCTTCATCTTCACCTTCAGTTGTATCATCTTCATCTGTCCTTCTATCTTGCTACCCCTGTTCCTCCGAAATCCTGATTTGTTTTTCCTTCGCGGTCCGCACGAGCCCGAACTGCTGGAGTTCTGCTTCGGTCAGGTTCTGGGTCAATTTCCGCAGCATAAACACGTAGGGGTCGTTCACCCGCTGCTGCACGCAACTGTTGACGCACTGATTCAAATATGCATTGCAAAAAAATCGTACTAGTAGAAATGACATTGCAAGTTTGTTCAGCATGAAAGCTAGAACTTGTCATGCTGTTTTACTTTTACTTCAAGAACCAGATTTGTCATGCATAATTGCAATTACTACGAGTACGATACTTTTGCACAGGATATCAAAAACCTTTCCATACCGGAGGACTTCAAATACGCCTGCGCATTGATCGCCGCGCCCTGGTAGTTCGCCTTCTTCGGAGACGTGGTCGGCATTCTTTCCCGTTTTTCGGATGTTCGTTTTACTGTCGCTTTCAATCAAAATTCTTGATGTCGTGACAGTGAGTGGTCAGCATGTGCTGGTCGACAACATGTGCTGGTCGTGGCTCGTGGTCGACGTCCTGCCATGGACGAATAATACACGTTTTTTTTACCATGTCGCTAACAACATCGCTATAGAAGTTTTTGAATGTCGCTGATTTGTCGGGCAGAGGTGCGTGTTAAAAGTTAATAGCTCTTTCCCAGACGACGTGTCTGTTTCTCATTCTTTTTGCGTAGTTTGGTATTTTAGATCTTGCGTCTGCTCCATCAGCTTGTGATGTTAATACAACTCGTTGCGACGCAGACGCGTGGGCCTCTCACACTCTAGCACACAACTTGTCAATCTCTTCTCCTCCGTTCTTTTTTTGGCTTTCTGGTAGTCTTGCGCTCCTCCAACCGTCGTACAGATGGTTCTGATACCAGGAACATGTTGAAGGTCAACACAAAGTCGTGGATGGACGAACATACACATTGACTAGACCACCTACACAGGAAAGATCGCGCTCGGGCGGCCTCGGTCTCGCACGCGAAATCAAGGAACAGGGCGCTTTTTTGTTTCATACAACAGGAAGGAAACACCTCTGTAATACTGGTTGTACATCTTCCATCCTCGTGCAAGGTATAAGGTGCATTATCTACGCAAAAGCAAAACATAAGTTCATTTTTCACTGCAAGAAACGAGTTTTCGGACGCTACAAGAAGAAACAAGTAGCCGCAGACAATTTTCAGTCTACCGAAGCTCCTAGTGAGATTTTGATTTGGTTATCGTTGTGTGATCCTAGTGTCTGATATTCATTGAGATTAGTGTGCCATCGGATTACGTGGATTATATCGAGCTTGATTCTTGCTGGCAAGCCGATTAATTTCTATTGCTACCTGATGAGAAGCAACTAGCTGCCAGTTGTGGCTTTTTCTGTGGTGGATGTACATACAGATACAAGAAATAAGAACTGCAGAATAAACAAAGGAAAGCTCTTGAGACGAAGATCTTCGACTATTCGCTTAGTAGATGATTACGCCATAGTACAACTAGCTGCCATGATCTGCATCTACTTTACAATCAAATTCTACATGGCGAATGCGAAGGCCGAGGATAAGATGAACCATGCTACTAGGCGTTCTTGCGTTTTTTGCTGGCTTGAACGAGGACCACCATCGATTTCGAATTGCCAGCAGCATGCAAGCAAGATCTTGTAAATATCTTTCGACTTGTGGATTTGCTTCAAAGTTCTTTGCATTGAATGGGGAAGAAACTACGGCTACGAAATAATTCTACCATAGCACACACTACCGATATTCCTAATTGTAATTGTCCTTATCCTATTCGTTTACGTTTGTTTGATTATAGTTCGATTTGCTGGTTGAGGTTGTACTAGGTATGAGTACATAACATGGAAGTCATTTTAGCGTTTTTAGTACATTTGCCTTTGCGGAGAAATATCTATATCTTTCTTACATCTTCACGTTCACGCCCACTTGCAGCGTTTTCCCGTCTTCTTTATTTTCCTCTTCTCATCCACTTCACCCCTCTCTATCGCTTCTGCCCACAGCGGCGTCCTCGTTGTTTTCCGCAACTGCTCGTTCCAAAATCTGGTCCGCAACACCCTGCTCCAGGACGATCTGTGAAACTGTTGCATCCTCAAAATCCTTCGTGACGCTGTTTTCCGCCTCGAGAATCTGCTGCAACGTCGAGTCCGCAACTTCTTGATTCGCGCTATGGGCTTCCCAAACGTTACGTTGGTCGCTGTTCATAGGATTTGTCATGCGGAACACCAACCAGAAATCAGAATCACAGCGACTTTCACATACACTCCACATGACCAAGCCATTTCGCATAAACAATTTCCTGACGCGGTAAATAGCATCATTGAAACCATTCCAAATCTGTAATGCGCGACGCGCAAGCGGCAAGCGTAAGCTCCCTCTTTCTCTTTCGCTACCTTTGTGCATCATAAAATCGCGTATCAGCGACCAATGTCACGTTCCAGAGTCCCATACGCGGCCGCTGCGACTGCCGTTGCATCTTCGTCGACATCCAAGTGCTCCTGCGTCGCCGCCCGCAGACTATCCAAGAAAAAAACTCCGTGAGTGTAAGTCTGTAATGCGCGACATGCATAGACATGTATGCGTCTGCCATGCTGGGCATGCGTTGTAGGGTCCGTTCAAGCGCGTTCTCGCGTAGTATCTGCGCATCGCAGGTTTTTGCAGAGAGATTTGTAACGCTGTTCCTCAAAAGCAGTTACTTACTTACACCTACGATCGTTTTTTCTTGGATACAAACCTTGCGCTGGTGACTGCGGTTGGTCTACTGTGGTCTCGGCGGGTGGCTGTGCTGGTGCAGAGGACTCAGCGACCTGAAGGTCTTGGCTTAATACCTCAGTAGGCGCACCCTCGTCCAGGGGCAGTGCCGCTGCCACTTCCGCTTCGCCCTCGGTATTAACGCTGATTCTATGGTCTACTGGTGCTGCTGCTTCCTCATCATTCGGAACTGCTTCTTCTATCGCAGGTTGCTGAACGTGGACTCCATCCTCGGTTGCTATTATTGCGGTGCCGGTAGCTGCTGCTGTTGCACTCTCGTAGTTGGATGCCTCTCGCTCTCCGACGGCAGCTGTTTCGACTTCTTGCCCTGGTGCCTCCGCATCATGTGGTGCTGCTGCAATTCCAATTGCAGTTGCAACCGATGTCACCCCGCTACCACTCTCCTCTCCACTTCCGAACCCACCGTGCAGCAGTTGCGCGACGATCCTCTGTATCCTGTGCAAAAGTATCGTACTCGTATCAATGCAAGTCTTGCATTACAAATATTTTTCTTCAGGTAAAACCGCATTACAAATTTGATTTCTCATGCTGGGAAAATTTGTAATGCATTTATACGAATACGATACTTTAACTTTTGCAAATCATACTCTGCACGAGCTCTTCTTCCAGATCGCCCATCTGCGAGTCCTCTTCCTCCGGATCGACATCGTCCCGTGGCGGCTCCTATGCATTGCAAATATGTCATCTGGGTCTGGAAGGATGCAACTTGTGATGCTATTTTTGGAATCTAAAAAAATCTGTATTGCATGAGGAGCATGTAGGGGTCAAGTTTATGTGATGCGGCGAGGGCACCATTTCTCATGCGGGAGAGGCATCAGTAAGCATTCTGAAATTTTCTCCTCTTCTGTGATGCTGGGTCATGCATTACAGGCATCACGCGTCATGCAAAATACGCATGACATCTTTCAGACCCAGACATATTTGCAGTGGATAGCAACACCACCTCCTGTTCGGACCACAAGTCGTCCTGGATACTAAAGGCAGCTGTGCCTCTATGGAGAGAAAAAAGTTCGCCACAGTCACTAACTTGCAGGCTTTGCATTACAAATTTTCTTAGCACGACAAATTTTCCTTGTATTGCAGAAACACTAGGGAAATTCCCAATGCAGTTTGGCTGTGATGCATTTTTACGCATGACAAGCAGTTTTGTACTGCAAAAATGCGCATGCGTGATCGTGACGAACTTTTTTTGTTTGATAGCCTCCAGACAGGTTCTCCACCACTTCCATCAACGCCTGATGCACCAACTGCTCGCCCGGCTCTTCCGCCGAGCTCGCGGAGAAGGCTTCTTGCTTGGTGCTGTCATCCTGCGTTATGATGGTTCCATCGGAGAGCACGATTTGGTCATCGGAAGCGGGGATTACACGCCCGTCTTCCGTCGTGATCATGGCACCACCTGTTTCTCCGGTCGGTATTGCAACTCCATCTACACCATCTGGCTCTATTTCTGCAGCAGCGCCGCCGGCCCCATCTGGAAGTTCTTGTCCCTCTCGTCCGCCCGGAGATCTGTCAATTTCCTCCGCGGCAGTTCCTCCTGGTGAGGCAGAAACCCCCTTGCCCTTCCTCGCTCCTCCGGCAGCTGTAGTTGTACCATCCTCCGCTGCACCACTTTCTTTCGTGTCTAGACTGTCCATATTTGCCTTCTGCTTCTTCTTCTTTTCTCCCGGCGACGATCCGCCGGGGGAACTGGCGCCGATCCCCCCGCCGGGGGAAGATCCACCTCGGCCTTCCTCGGCGGCTGACGATTTGCCCTTTTTCCCCGCGGAGGACGGGGAGGACTTTGTGGACGTTCCGGCCTTCACGATGCCCGGATGCATTCCGCCTATTGGATCCGGCTCTGTCTTTCCCACCGGAATCGGTTCTTTCGCGCCTGCGGTTTTTCGGAACGCCCGTCCCGGCGGTCCGACCGGGACTCCCTGCGCTTTCCGCGCGTTCGCCCTTCGCTTTGCGGCCACGCTCGCGGCGGTGGGCGTGGTTTGCACGGGCTGCAGCTGTGGCGGCGGGCCCAGTTTCAGTCGCGGCAGCTTGCCTCTTCCGCCGACGTTGTCGAAGGCCGTGCGCACGTGCTGGTACGACCGCGACCAATCGCGCGTGTCCTGCTTCACGTTCTGCGTCTTGGCCCACGTCCAGTCGCCCGCCTCCGCGGATTTCCCCCGCGGCTCGATCTTCCGGCCGCCCGCGCCAAAGTTCGCGTTGTACGGTGGCCCAATGCCGATCACCTTGGACCGCAAAACGTGTCGGACGTAGGCTGGCGAGACCAAATTTCTCAGGCGCTCCTGGTCCGGCGTCAGGTCGTCTTCGATAAAGGATTTTGTCTTCTTCCCCTGCACCATGCCCGGCGGGTGCGCGGGAATTTCCCGCCCGACCGCGTCGTCCGCGCGCGCGATAGGACCACGAAGCCCACTCCCGCCTAAACCGGACAGCATGCCCACCCAGCTGGTCAGCCCCGCGCGATTCGTCATGTCCGCCAAGGGCGGACTGCGCGACCGGGGGGACCGGGACTCGCCCGAGCTGGGACTCCGGTCGGCGGCACTCCCGCCGCTCCGTGGCCGTTTGGTCGCGTCTTTGTGTTTCGGAGAATACACAAATGTGCTGTCGTCCCCCTCGCGGAACCGCAGATCCTTTTGTCGCGTCTGCGGCCGCGTGGACGCCGCTGTGTCGACGGTCCGATGCGTGTCTAGATCGAGCTTCAAACCGGCGTCTTCGCTGACCACACTGCTCGCCGCGCCGGGCGACTGTTGCCGGCTAGAGGACGCAGACGCAGTGGAACTGCGCTTCTTCTTCTCATCCTTTTTCACTGATGTTGAAGCCGGTTGGTGTTCTACTTCTGGGTCAACTTCTTGTTGGTCAAACTGAACTACAGACGGCTTTGTTTCATCCTC